CACACACACACACACACACACACACAAACAAACCGGGGGTGAGGGGAGAAGAAAACATAACAACTACAATTCCTTGAAGTTGGTACGACAAGCAAACAGAAAGGACATTATTGGGTGGGGGGGGAGGGAGGAGGGAGGGAGGTTTCGGTAATGGGCAACAATAATCAACCACATTGTATATCGACAAAATAAAATTTATTAAAAAAAAAAAAAAAAAGCCACAGTTGTTCCCTTCAGATGGAGTTGCTTGGAGGTGGCAGAGAAGAAGAGGACCTTGGTGGCCCCAGGACAGCAAGACCACTAATAGGGTTCCCATGCGCCCAAATAGGAGTGAGGAACCACAACAACTGAAAAAAAGGAGCAACTCAGGGGCTGGTGAGTCATTGTAAGGGACCAGAGCATGGCCCATTCTATGGGAAGTGTTTGGAGCACATGTGGTAGGGGAGACAGGCCCACCAGGAGAACACTGGGGCACAGCAAGGACAACTGATCTGCACCCCAATCAGCGAAGGACCACTCAGAGGAGACTGGTCAGGAATACAGAATTGCATGGGGTGCAGTTTGATGAAAAGACTCAGGCCCAGACCAGAGTTTCTACACAACCCAGGTGTACCGGATCTCTCAAGGGCCAGAAGTAACTATAAAGTCAATCATTAAAACCTGAGCTGCACAAAAAGCCTTCCCCAGGGAATCAGCAGCAAAGCAGCAATTTAGCTAAATCACACAGCTCAAGTACTGGTCCCCACAGGAAGTTCCCCCATTTTAGAAGTAAGCAAAGGACAATGAATTATTCCAATGCAGAGTTTAAGTGGTGGGAAGAACAAATAATCCAACACAGAACTGAAACAAAAAACAAAGTACCCACGACCAGAGAAAAAGTTTCACATTAATGAGTAAAGGTCTCATTTCACCAAAGAACACCTGTAACGCCTAGAAAGAACGGAAGTCCCCTGGGCTACCAAGCCAGAAAGCGGGTAGGGTCAGGGGCCTCAGCAATGCCCCAACTCATTTCACCAAAGAACACCTGTAACGCCTAGAAAGAACAGAAGTCCCCTGGGCTACCAAGCCAGAAAGCGGGTAGGGTCAGGGGCCTCAGCAATGCCCCAACACCCGCAACCAATCCCGAGAGTGGGGGACAAAGGCCTCAGCCACACCCCCCCCAACACATGCAGCCAGCTCAGCCACGACCACCAAGCCCCCACAAGAAGCACCCTGGGTTCTGCCAACCAGGGTGATTGGGGGCTGAGGGCCTTGGCCATGCCTCCCAACACATGCAACCAGCCCAATGACTGCCTCCAAGCTGCAGCAAGCAGGGCCCCGGGTTCCTGCGCTGGGATGGTGGGGGGCAAGGGCTTTTGCCACACCCCCCGACATCTGCACCCAGCCCGGCAATGACCAAGCCACTGCTGGAAACCCCCCGGTCTCCCCCTGTGGGAATGAGGGGGGTGCCACAGGCCTCAATCCCGCCCCTCCTCCTCCTTCCTTCTTCCATCCCATTTCCTTCCCCTTCCCCTCTCCCACTCCCTCCCAACTGCTCCACAACAAACTCCTAGCATGTAAAAAATATTAATAAAATTACATTTTCTTTAAAAACAAAACAAAAAAACACAGATGAGTCATATCAACACAAACTTCAAGCTTCTAATAAGCTCAGATTATCCTTTAAATCATGACTAAATTCTCATATTGTTACAGGATAAACTTGACTGATAAAACAGAATCCAGTCCAGAAACATACAACGAAGTAAATATAGGAAAAGACTTTTCCTCTCTGAGAACGGGGACTAGGAGCCCAGGACCAGGGAAGATGGCACGGAAGCCACACCAGATCCCAGGAGGGCTGGCCAGTCTAATGATCCAGGGATGAACCGTGTGCAGACCACGCAGACCAAAGAGAAAAGGGACAGATAACATCACAGCAAAGTGGGCAAAGATGCAGGAAGCAAATCACAGAACAGAAATGATGATCAATAAATAAGTGAAAAGATTCTCAACCTCATAATCAAGGAAACGAAAGTGAAACGAGATGTGGACCCCCAGTCAACCAAGGCACACAGACCCTGGCAGGACCCAGCAGTGGCCACGGGGACTCCACACCCAGCTGAGGGGCACACCAGTGGGCCAGCTGTGGGGAGGGCAGTGTGGCCTGTCACAACTTTAAACACACACACAGAACTTCTGATGAAACACATACAATCCATCATTCTTGTCGCCTCTCCTTCCTGTAGTATCACAAAACTGACATGGAAAAATTTAACGTATAAACCTGTGAGGCTCAGAAATAGCGAGAGGCACTCAACAAGGCCATGTTCGCTTGCTGCTGGAAGACAGAGGCACAGGGCTACCATTCCCAGGCCTGCAGAGCGCAAGGACCACCAGCAGAGCACAGGCTCTACAGACACCCAGGAAGGCCAGCAACAGGGACACAGGTGGGCTTGAGAGAAAGCGGAAGATGGGTGCCGCACTCTTTCCCAGCATGGACCTGGGGATGTAGCGCATGGCGGAGGCCAGTGGCTGGCAGGAACCCCCAGCGGCACCCCCAGTACAGCTGGCTCCACGGTTGAAACAAAGATCTCCCCAAGACTAAATGGGGCTTCACACCTAATGTGAAGGCACACAGCCACGGGTCACCAACCTGGGCAGGGAACACCCACCTTCAATGCCAAACACAGAGACCCAGACAGATAGACAGCAGGCAATATAAGAGGCAAAAGAAACCTCCAAACACTAAGAGCTGTCTTCAGAGAGGTGAGCAAAAGCATTGCATCCATGAAACTGGAACAGGAAGACATGAAAAAACCAAACAAACACAGAACAAGAAAGCAAGGCCCCCAGTTAAAAGTGATAATAAAAATAAGAAACTTAGCTGAGGAATTGGGGGAGGGAGAAGAGGAAATTTTCCACCCAGAAAACAGAACAAAGAGAAAGATGAGAGAGAAATCCTTAAGAAAATCAGTGAGTTCACTCTGGAGGCCAAGCACGGGTCTCACAGGAGTGCAAAGGGAGGAAGAATGGAGGAGAATAAACGACCCAAGTAAACAACAGAAGACTTCCCAAAAGGGAAGGAAGAGTCTGAGAGTCCAGGCCACTGTGTTCCCAGCACAAAAGGTGCAAAGCCAGAGACTGCAACATCTGACGCTGCTGCGGGATTAAGAGTCCACAGGAGGCCAGGCGGCACGTGGAGTGAGAATCACGCGGGCAGGGGGACAGCCCTCTGACAGCACCGGGTGAGAGACGACAGAGAACCACCTTCAACCAATGCGCGCGAGCAAAGCCAGCTCAGATGTGTGGGGACACGAACAGCGTCACCACCCGCCCTCGGCACTCTGTGAAGGGAAGGGCTGCAGCAAAGTGTTGAGGAAACACTGATACGCACACACCTGCTCCACGCAACGTGGATGCAGGGCCAGCCGGAGCGAGGGACCCTGGGAATAAGAGTGCCGGGAGACTCCAGGAGGACCATGAGCAGGAGACCCAGAGGGCAAGACAGGACGGGGGAGCACCACAGCGTTCAGAGGAAAAGACCACACGCTGACCAGAGGCACAGCTGTGCTGGGCACTAGGGAAGCCAGAGGCAAAGATGAGGGCCTGCTGCATCACCATCACACCTGCCAGGCACAGGGACCTGAGCAATCGTGGTGAGGGGAGCAGGTGGGAAGCACATCACACTCCACGCTGGGCTGACGGGAGAGCACATGGGCCATGGGGAGCTGAGGTCACCTGGGATGGGCTGAGTTGTGTCCCCCAAAATCCCTGTGTTGAAGCCCTAACCCCCAGGACCTCAAAATGTGCCTAAATGTGGAGATGGAAGATCTAAAGAGGTGATTAAGTTAAAGTGACATTTTTAGAGTAGAACCTGATCCAATCAGCCTGGTGTCCCTATAAGAGGAGGAGGTCAAGACACAGAGAGACGACCATGAGAGGACACAGGGAGAGGACGCCATCTACAGGCAAGGAGAAAGGCCTCAGGAGGAACCAGCCCCAATCCTGGACTTTCAGCCTCCAGGACTGTGAAAGAGTGAATTTCTGTTTAAGCTATCCAGTCTGTGGTGCTCTGTTTTGGCAGACCTGAACTGACTAAGACAAAACTTAAATCACCAAGAACAGTAGCCATTTAGACCAAAAGTTGGTGCTCACATGAGGCAGACCACATGTGTGGTCACAGCCACGGAAAGCAATGGCAGCTACTACGCTGGCAGCCACCGCACTGGCAGCCACCATGCTGGCTGCACGGATCCCAACATTCATCATCCCTGGAAGTTCTGTTCAGATAGCACTGTCCCCAGAGATTAAAAATGACAGAAATCAGTAGCACGGAGCAGTTCAAGGAAGAAGAAACAAGGGCCAGTGAAAAGATACTCGGCAGGTAACTCAAAGCAGAACAGTTTCACATCCTTCAACCTGCCAGAAAGTCAAGTCTGACAACCACAGTACGGGAGCAGGAGGCCTTGCTGACCTTGGGGGCTTCAAGCATCACAGAACTGAGGAACAGGCACCCCCTCTCCAGGCCATCCTTCTCCTTCCTGACTTATGCCCGTGATCAAAAAACACACAGGGCCAAGCCCATGGCGCACTTGGGAGAGTGCGGCGCTGGGAGCGCAGTGGCGCTCCCAGCACAGGTTCGGATCCTATATAGGGATGACCGGTGCACTCACAGCGCTCACTGGCTGAGCGCGGTGCTGCCGGTCTCAAAAAAGGACAAAAAAAAAAAACAACACACAGACGGACTGCTATTCCATGTGTGACATCACCAAGGAACTCAGGCGGTACAGCAGCAAGCTTCCCTCTGCTCTAAGTGTCAGGGAAGGCATTAGTGAAAAGGATGGAAATTCTGATTTTATAACATGAAAGCCCACTTCTAAATTACAGATCAATAAAATTAAACCTTTCCTCAGTGATTAAAAACAAAAACAAAAAAATTGGGGGCCGGCCCAGTGGCGTACTGGATAGTGCACCGCTTGGGAAGCGCGGCGGCGCTCCCGTCCGAGGGTTCGGATCCCACATACAGACCGGCTCCCGCTCACTGGCTGAGCGAGGCGCGGGAGCAACACCGAAAAAAAAAAAAAATTGGCTTACTACCTTAGGTTGCTCAAGCCGAAGGTCAAGTTGATCAAGGTGGTGTTTTACTTCTTTTTCAGATGTCTCTTCTGAAAACATACAGGATGAACTAAGAGAGAAAGCACAATGTTAGAACTCCACACATTCCCACCTGCGCTCCGCTCTGTGCCTAGGACAGGATGATGCAGGGCCAGGGCCAAGGCCATGTTTGCACTTGCCTCAGCCCACGTGACGGCACAGAAGGAGAGACCCACCCAGACAACTGTGCCACAGCCCCTGTGCAGGGGCTGCACAGAAACACGCAGATCAGAGACTCAGGTTCTAGTGTAAACATCATCTTGTCTTGAGTCCCAACCACAAAATGTGTTTCTAAAACAAAAAAGGCTACTGGTCTTCAGGGGCATGAAATCACACACAAATCCAGATCTGAATTCAGTGCAAGGTTCCTGTTTTAAAAACATATTTAAGATGAAAACTTTTATTTACCTGATTTCCTCAGATTTCAGAAGAGAATCTTCCTTCACCTCCTGCAGCCGTTGCTGTAACAGAGTCAGGTCTTCTTGGTAAGTTTTTTCAGCATCCCTTTTCTTTTCAAAATAAATCCTCAGTTGCTTCAGTTCAGACTCATGCTCAGTTCTCTCTCGCTGCGACTGCTGCACAAAGTCTTGCTTTACGTATTCCAACTCTTCCACGTGAGATGCTCGAGGCAGAAGCTGCTTCTGTAGCTCTTTAATAGGATGAAATTATGCAATCATCTTAAAATTAAACACCAAAAACCAAGAGATGGGTGAGCCCTGTGGTGTGTGGGGCAGAATCTGAAAAGGACCCACCCCAGGAGCTGTGAGTGGGACAAGGGACCCTGCCACAGCCGAACTCACATCTCACGAGCCCCTGAAGAGCAGAGCTTTCTCCAGCTGATGGTATGAGGGCCAGAGAAGCTGGGAGCAAGAGCAGTGCTTGCTACGGTCGGCAGCGTGGCCCCAGCCAACAGCCAGCAAGGACACAGGAGGTCGTCCCTACAGCCATGAGCAACTGGAGTCTGCCGCAGCCTGGATGCGCCCGGCAGTGGATTCAGGTTAGCACACAGCCAGCAACACCTGGATCTCGGCCGTGGGAGACCCTGGGCTGAGAGCCCGGCCATGCCATCTCAGACTTATTGTGAGTTAATAACTGTGTGTTGTTTTAGGACGCCAAGTCTATGATAATTTGTTATGTAGCAACAGAAAAGCATCACAGGCCATAAGAAAACTTGTCAGCATCACTACTGTGGTGAAGAGGATGCTGCCATCTGCTTTACAGTAATTAATACCTAACAACATGGACTTGAGCTGGAGACTACTACCCCAGAGATCTAAATCAAAGCTCTCAGTATGGGTCCTCAGACCCAGGACGAAGACTCGTGGCATAATGTGCCAGAGCCAGAGAGAAAGCCGCTCCACCTGTGGCCCCATCAACTCCTCCAGCCTCCAGTGACAGACAGACCCCAGGAAAAGACACCTGACAAGCTCGCTACCATGCCTGGCAACAGACGGATTTGGCTAAAGGGTGGAGACCGGGCTTCATTCGCCACCACAGGACAGATGGCACTGTTTCCAGTTCTTGCTGGGAACCGCTCTTTGTTCCAAATCACATTCATCCTCAGAGACAACCAGGAGGTTTAAAAGGCTCGGTCTGTAGATAAACACCAGGTGTATTTTCATCTCCTGTGTCCTGGATGATGTGGTCTGAACCAGGCTTGGCCATGTCCAGCCCACAGGCAACAGTGGCTCCGCCCACCCTCAATGGCCACGTCCTCACTTCTGAGCAGAGACCTTTCTGACATGGGGGTGGGGGCCAAGACTCAGGGTCTCCAGAGGAGCTCAGCTGTAAGGGGGGACCTGGAGTGAAGCTGCCCTCAGCCAAAGTGGTCGCAGGTGCCTGACAACCCCCACTGTTAGGTGAGCTCGTGGGGCAGAGTGTGGGGAAGTACTGTCCTGGGACCCCCGATGCCAGCGGAGCACTGCACTGCCATAGCACTCAACCACAGTTCCTAGCTAACAGTTAAGCACCACGGGTAAACTTTAGCCATCTTACACTTGAAAAATACCTCATATTAACGTGCATCCCAACAACAAGTTTCCACCTTAAAACTATACACATCAATCTTCAAGATTAAAAAATAAGTAAGACTACAAAATTACTATTTTATGCTTACTACAATTGTTAAATTCTAGTTAGGAGTTTCAACAATTAAAAACACAGCTTCAGCTTTTGAGGATGTGAATTTTCCACATAAAATTTCTCACCATTCAGTTCCTGTCTGTTGGTTCTCGTAGAATCAAGCTGGGACCAGAGGTGCATGATCTCTTCCTGTGACTGAGCCTTCAGGTCTTCATATGACGCCTGAAGATTCTCTAGCTGTGAAAAAGGACAGTGTCAACGTGAGAACCTACGAGATCAACCCCCAAGGCAATGGCATGCCACATCTGCAACTCGAGAAGTCTGCAAACAGCAGCACCCACAAAGGCTCAAAGTTAGACAGGCCAAGGCCAGAACTAGTATTCACTGGCTATTCCACCAGGCTAAGTACTTTAAAAATAAGAGTAACTGCTGGGTCTGTCTGTTCAGCTGAGGAGCCGGACAGCACAGGGTGTGCCTTGGGGAGTGGCATGGCCCCCACTCCTGGCCTGGCACCACAGCTACACCAGGTCTCTGTGCATGCCCACGATCTGTGAAATTACATCATTCTGCCTAGCACAGAACAAGGCCACATGGACAAACCACCAAGCAGATTTCAGGGACAGTCTTAACTATGCTCATGTCCTACCTGCACACTAACCTAGAAACACAGTCTTGGGAAACAGCATTAGCCACTAATAGAGCTTGGATGTGTTGTCCCCCAAAGCTCATGTCAAAATCTGATCCCAACTTGGCAGTGCTGGGAGCAGTTTGGGTTATGGAGGCAGATCCCTCATGAATAGATTAATGCCCTGGGGGTAGTGGTGAGTGAGTTTTCACTCTATTAGTTCCTGTGAGTGCTGGTTATTTAAAAGACCCTGGCCCATCCCCTTCCCTTCCCTCTCTCTCCCTGTTTCTCTTTCTCCCTCTCGTCTTATGATCTGCTTGTACCCACCAGCTGCCTGCCGTTATCCACCGTGAGTAGAAGCAGCCTGAGGCCCACACCAGATACAGCTATCCCAGAATCGTAAG